CCAGTCTTCACTCGTGGTTATTCTTCATCCGCGAAATCTGTCCGATTCTCCGGTTTTTGAACACTTGTTTCGCAAATATATCACGATATAGAGCACACTTTGTCTGCACACGATTTAATACAGTATTTTCGATATTTCTCGCGTAACTAAAGCGGGAAAGAGGTAATTACGATAGAAAAACAGCCAAGATAGATGCTGTTCTTCTTGATAAGCGAAGAGAGAGATAATGAAAGAGAGAGAGAGAGAGAGAGAGCGTCTGGCTCTAGCGATGGCCAAACTAAGAGAGTTCTGTTCTTATCGACAGCTGATAATCAAGAGAGAGTTGAGAAATGGTCTGTCCTTAGCGACGGGCGACCATTAAGAGAGTGAGTTTCTTCTTTGCTATCTTGAAACTGTCTGTATTTCTTAAGAGAGGGGGTTGAACTGTAAGTAGGAAGGGTTATTAAGGGTTGGACTAGGATAATGATTGTAAAATTGTGATATAAGGATAGTTAATAATACAGCGAAAAAATGACATGGTTTTTCGCATGTGAGAAAATTGAACACATAGTATTGGTAAAATCGTTCTTTTCAGATTTTATTTGTTTGGTCGGTGTAATTGTGCAATTGAATAAAGAAACTATAGAAAACTAAACCTTATATATTCGTGCGCAAAGCAGAAAGTATGCTTTATTTAGCTAGTAGTAGTAACAAACTGCCAAACTGCAAGAATTCTGCCAAGAAAAGAATATGGTAATTGCCAATACTTGATTTCGGCTACCTAAGAGAAGACTATATACATGAACGTCTCCTTCATATACAGAAAACCACATTGTCAGACACCAGATAGACTTTAAACTTGTAAATAGCAGATATAAAAACTTTATAACCTTCAATTAAAACATATCCTGAAGCAGATGCTAACTCAGACCACAATCCGTTAGTTGCTGACGTGAAAATAAAAGTAAAAAGAATTGAAGAACTCAGAAAACAACAACCAAAAACTACTGTATGAATGCTAAAAAACGAAGAAATAAAAAATGAATTAAAAAATATTGTAAATGTTAATATGCAAAAAACACTAACTGACAACAAACAAGGATGTAAGACAAACGATGTAAGATGTAACAAACAAGGATGTAAAGAAAGTTTGGTACAACATAGGTCAGAGGCTAAAAAACAGTGGATGACAGAAGAAAGACTATTAAAGATGAAAGAAAGAAGTAAATATAAAGGAAGAGATCTACAAAAGTATAAACAAATACAACGAATAATTAAGGAAAAAATCAAAACAGCTAAGAAAATCTATTTAAGGAAACAATGTAAAGATAAACAATGTAAAGAGATGAAGAGAAGAACTAGAAACAAAATATCATATGAGAAATATGCACAAAAAAATAAGAGAAGTGACTGGAATTAATCATGTAAAATGAGTTGATTTTTCTTATATAGGTTTTATAAATCTCGGGTAAATAGTTAAATATTCTAGGAATGAAGTAAGAAAAATTGTGTTTTCCAATTGATTTATAAGCACTAGTAATTTGGACATAATCATGAACTTTTCTTCTAGTGCTGTAAGTATGATCTATTGATTTTAAAACATGTTTATTTTTGTATGTAAGCAAAATAATGTTAAACAAATATAACTGTCTTATACTAAAAATATCTGCTTGCTGATAAAGAAGTTCTGAAGAATATAAGCGAGATTTTTTTAGCATTATTTTCAAAAACCTTCTTTGTAATATTTCGAGTTTATTTAAATAAGAAGCATATGTTCCACCCCATGCTAAAATAGCATATCTAAGACGTGACTCTATCAAAGAATAGTATACTGTCTTTAAGTAAGACAAATTAAGAATATTGCTAAGATATCTAAATTTGTATAATAACATTCTTAGAGTTTTACATACCATATCAATATGCACATCCCACTTCAAGTGACAATCAATATAAACTCCTAAGTATTTTATGTATTTTTTCCTATTTATTTTAATGAACGCGTTATTATAGCTTAGATTTAATTCCAAGAAGTCAGGTAAATTGTTTTTGTATATTGAAAATGGTATGAAATAAGTTTTATCAGTATTAACTGTCAGTAATTTTCCTATTTAACCATTCTAGAACCTTTACAGTTTCTGTTTCTGCCAAAGTTTTAAGTTTTTCCCACGAATTACTAGTGTAAAGTATGACAGTATCGTCAGCAAAGCAAATAATCTTTCCATTTATTTTCATTGATGCTAGATCATTTATATATATTGAAAACAGTAAAGGTCCTAAAACAGTACCTTGCGGCACACCATACTCAATGGTTTTTTCAGCACTTACTTTGTTATTAATGTTAACAATTTGCGATCTATTTTTTAAATAACTCTGAAATAGTAAGTACGGTATGCCCCTTATTCCAAGATGATCCAAAGCACGGGTCGAAATATACAACAAAAAAACATAAAAGACAAAAAAGGTACTACTAATAGATTTACCAGAGAAATTAAGACGATGGGAGGAGTACGTTGGAAAACTTTTTCAAGATGAAAGAGGTGAAATGCAGAAAATACAAGAATTAAATCCTTTAGAGAGACAGAAGATCACGATAGATAAAACCAAATATGCTATCAAAAACTCTAAAGACAATAAGGCAGCTGGATTACATGAAATACCAGTAGAACTGTTAAAACTAGTGGAAGAAGATAACTTGAAAGTATTGGCAGATTTATTCAACATGGTGGACGATACGTGAATAATACCACAAGAGTAGCTGAAGTCAGCATTTATAACCATCCCTAAAAAACAAGCAGCAAAAGAGTGCTCTGATTATCGAACACTGAGCTTCATGAGTCATACTTTAACAGTACTGCTGAAAGTAATACATAAGAGAATACACGAAACACTAGAGGAGGATATTAGCGAGACGCAGTTCGGGTTCCGAAATGGAATGGGTACTCGAGAAGGACTATTTGCCATCAACATATTGATTCAGCGATGTCGGGATGTAAACGTTGATCTACACTTTTGCTTTGGTGACTACGAAAAAGCTTTCGATAAAGTAAGACATGAAAAACTAATATCAATACTTATGAACAAGCGCATTGACAGTAAAATCATAAATATAGTGCAAACTATATATTGGAACCAAAGTGCCATAGTTAAAATTGATGGGCAACACTCCGAAGAAATGAAGATCTGTAAAGGAGTTAGACAGGGATATGTTTTATCGCCACTTTTGTTTAACTTATATTTTGAAGAAATTTTCCAAAACACGCTCAATAATATCAATTTTCATATATTTTCAATATTGTTATAATGGAGACATATACTAATATTGAAAATATACAATTGGATATTAAAAAATGCAATTTAAAAAGAATCGAGGCTTTCGAACTCTGGTTATACCGTAGAGTATTAAAAATATCATGGACTGATAGAATTACAAATAAAGAAGTACCGGAGAGGGTTGTTAAAGAAACAGAACTAATCACCACTATACAAACCAGAACACTGAAATACCTAGGCCACATGATGATGGGACCAAAATATGAAATTTTGAGACTCATAACACAGGGAAAGATTCAAGGAAGAAGATCTGTTGGCTGAAGGCAGAACTCATGGTTGAAGAATCTACGTGATTGGTATCAATGCATTATGATTTCCAACCTTTGTAGGGAAACAGCACTCGAAGAAGACGGAAGTAACAAATTGAAGCTACCTTTAGGATGTCAGTATAACCATCGGAGAGTTTATTGCTGACAGAAGTAAGCAATTTAGTAGAGAGGTGAGGAAGTTTCTATTTGGGTGTTGCTAAATATTGGATTGTTGCATAAAGAGGATAAAGTTGTGCTTTATTTGGATTAGACGTTCATCTATCCTTATTTTCTGCACTATATACTGAAATGGTTTAAGTAAGTCTTCTTTTTATGTAGACATGAGTGTCTGTTTTTTAATGTACCTTCAGTTAATCACTCTACAGTAGGTAAACTGCATATGATTACAAATACTATTAAAAGATAACAAACAAGTATATTCCAGTACCTTCTTTGTTGTTGCTCAGGCATTAGATACAGTATGACATGATAGTTATATATATGAACTAAAGACTTTTATGCATAAACAGTATTTACAACTTTTTTATAATGACTTAATTACCACCTTTGTCGACGAAATTGACATTCAAATAGATGCATCATACTAAAGAGGCAAGAAATACATTCCACATAGCAGTTAATCATATCCATTCTGGACTAAAAGATAAAGAATTAGGTTGAAAGAAGCTAAAGCTATGTATAAGTTTTTACTTTATAAGCAAATGTTAAGGTCTATGTGGACTTTAATGGTGTGTCAAGAAAAGATTTATAGCAATAACTTTAAGAAACCAAAAGAATTTTGGAATAATTCTACACCAAACTATTAAGAAACACCATCCATGCTCTTTAGTACGTGTCAAAGATTGATCTCCACAAGAATCTGGTGGTGAAAACTGTGCTTATAATCATTTACAAGATGACAGAAAGTCGTGAATAACGACGTCATACTTACGTGAATATTAAAATGATCCCACCGTTCAATAATATTGGGCTAACTAGAATACTAAAGAAGGCGTAGTTTAATTGATTTAAGAGTTTGTGTAAAAGCAACTCTTACCTTGTATGTGTAAGCGTAAAGCTTGTGCACAATTGCAGCAGCATATGCTCTTGCATTTACATACACTGACTGTTAAACCAATTGAAAATGTCCATCTTCAGTCTTAGTACATTATTTTATTAGGTCTGACAAGGGACGCCAGAGAGTTAACTCTTAATTTAAGGACTAATAGTAATTTAGGTTGTATTAACATGGTACATTATATTAATAACAGCAGCAAAGAGAGATAATTAGGAATAATTCGGAGATAAAAATAAATTTATAGATGCTTATTAAAAAAATCTTTCTTGTATTTATTTAATAAGACTTTGTGCATTGAATAACAAAAATATTGGTTTATTGGAGAAAGTATAATCAATTTAACTTATACTATATATTTTTTCAGTTGTATAAATGTCAAAATCAACTTTAGAGAAAAAGAGAAAGAAGTACTGGACCAAATACTTGGACCAGGTCGCTATGACGCCCGTATTCGTCCATCTGGTGTAAACGGCACAGGTAAGTTATCTATTAGAACATAAGTAATTGTTTTCAATGTAGGGAAGACCAGACGACAAACCACATACGAGAGATGCCACTGTTACTTGTTTGCTTGTTGTACATATATATAAATGTAACACATAATAATCATCACTCTAGATGGGCCTGCCATTGTCCAGGTAAACCTGTTTGTGCGCAGCATAGCAACCATAAGCGACATCAAGATGGTAAGTGGAGCCCCCTCGAATTTTTGTAGGATAGTGTAGAGGTGCTCCAGGTGCTATACGAGCCAGCATGGGGTGACAGCAATTGGTGATAATAGCTTTTTACCGCAACTAACAATACAACAGTTCTTTCCAAACCCAAATTAACAATACAAGTGTCGATCTTAAGTCAAAAATAATAAAAAAAACAGGATATTTACGTCTGGTTAAACTGGTTTTCCTTTATATTACTGATTATTTAAAAAAGGATTATTTAATAAACTTATTATTCAAAAAGGGTTACATTTTATAGCATAAAAACACTTTTATATTTTGGAAAATTCATAAATACTAATAATTTTGACACATTTAGTATTAAATTTGATAAGATTAGAGTTGGTTGTTCATTTAAGGGGAATATAAATAAGTTGTTTATATTTCAATTATTCCTGTTCACTTAGTTACATATTTGTCTTTATGTGGTTTTGTATTTTTGTGGTCAAAGCATTTTGTTGCTTCTTGCGTTATTAAATAGTATATTTTTTTCAACTTACTTATGTTTCTCAGTTCTTTCTGTAATAATCATTGTTTTTTTCTTCTTTTACTAGTTTCAAACACCTTTTTCGTTATTGATATCATTTATACGTGTTGATTTATCTTGTTTCATTGTTTATTTCATTTTAATTTGCATCTGTCTCTGTTACTAAGTTTTATTATCATCGATTACCATTCATATCCTAATCTTGACTACAGCTGTACTAAATAATCGATTAAAGTTACAAAAAAAACGTCTTTTTAAATTTTTTGTAATATTATTTATAAAGTTTTTCTACGATTTTTGGTTAAGGGGCTACCAGGATGCAAAATGTGCTGGCCTGGTTCCGGTAAAACATTGTTCATGAATAAAATGATATATTACTCCGGAAATGACACCCGAGGTTATATATATATATATATATATATATATATATATATATATATATATGTATATATATATATATATATATATATATATATATATATATATATATATGTATATATATACAGGGTGGTCCTTAAGTAATTGTACAAAAAGAAACCGTAGATTTTACACTTTAAAATATTACGATTTTAAGTCAAGTTGCTTTAATAAAATGTTGATATTAAGAAAGATATAGTTTGATGTAGCTGATAGATGGAGCCACATAAGTCAAGTCATTGTATTGAAATTGTGGCTGATAGATGGAGCCACATATGCCACATATGTGGCATACATTTGTACTTAACTTTTTTGCTCTTCAACTTACCGGTATTTTTAATAAAAAATATTAAAGATATATTATTTTAACAAAAAAAAGGTATACTTGTTAATATCTTTAAAACTCAACAGTTTTCGAGATAATCGCATTTTAGAAATCAACTACATAATTCTGATTTATCGCAATTACTCCATTCAACGAAAGAAAATTAAAAAAAAACATCAATACTTCTAAATTTTCGTATAAATTACGTTTAATAAAGTTAATAGTTAACGAATTATTAAATAAAATAAATATATCAGCAGGATAAAATAATAGGATTTGATAAATAACAGCATAATTGGATTTTACATCAAACATTTTACGTTTTGTATTAAATAGTTAACGAAATATTAAATAAAATAAATATATCAGCAGGATAATTAATAAAAAGATTTGATAAAATAACAGAATAATTGGATTTTACATCAAACATTTTATTTTTGTTTTGTATTAAATTACAGTCATAATTAAAACATTTTATTTACAAACCAAATTAAGAAATAGTTAAACTAAATAACATTAAACTTTTTGTCAAAGTAAGTGTTCAATATGTCCATTATTTTCTTTAATTCATTTGTCAATACATTCCATAAAATATTGTCTCATATTAAATAGCATCATTGGTTCTAAAGAAACTGCTGCAGTATTTATTATAAGTGTTATAAGTATAATAATAAGTAATTTTTTGAAATTTTTATGAATTAAATAATTATATTAATATCTCACCACAAGAATATGACTACCACCAACAACCCAAAGTTCAGGTAAGTTGTATTTAAATACTGTCTCACTCCGCTTTCTCTGTAATGTAATGGTGTACCATCTTGTAGAAACCTCATATTTTGCCTTAAGTTTGATGACAATTCTTCCAATAAATCAATAAGATGATTTTATAAAAAATGTAAATAAATCTCGACATTCAAATTGCAAGGTAATTCGCATATCCGTAAGAAATAATTATAAATGGTTCCAAATCATAGAACATGCATTTTAAATATGAATTTTAAATGATATTTTACGGATATGCGAATTACCTTTCAATTTGAATGGTGAGATTTATTTACATTTGTTATAAAATGATTTTATTGATTTATTGGAAAAATTGTCATCAAACTTAAGGCGAAATATGTGGTTTCTACAAGACGGTACACCACTACATTACAGAGAAAGCAGAATGACAGTATTTAAGGCTGTTTTAGCAGTTCAAGCACACTGCGATTTGAAATGGGCGTATCACTTACTTTTCTACACTGCTTACGCGAGACTATCTTTAGGACTCTCTCCAGGAGAATCGAAACAGCCGTTGTAAATTTTGTTCCCTTTTCGGATAGAATGCTCCAACTGCAGATATATCCGAAGCTGAAATAGGACATTTCTATGAAGAACTCAAAAAACTTTTATAATACACAAGGAAGAAAGAAATTACTATAATAATGAGTAATTTAAATGCAAAGATAGAAAAAGGCCGAGTTCATAATAGGTGATTATGGTTTAGGAAGAAGAAATGCTAGAGGTGACAGATTGGTTTCATTTTGTCAAGAAGAAAAAGATGATGTACACATGATTTCGATTACCACCCCGTAGACTGTACGGAATACCTGAAGGTCACTACAGAATAATAAAAAAAATTGCATTAGAAATCAGATCGACTCCATTATAAGCATTAACGATTTTCATCAACTCCATTATAAGCATTTTTCACGATTTCCCTTCATCCTTTCCTGTCCTGGGCTAGTTGTTCGGGTTCATGTAATTCTTGGTTAATCAATATTTTTGTTTGATCTACCCAACGGCTTGGAGATCTTCTTTCAATGTTTCCAAAATACTGCAAATATCTCCGTTGTATTTATTTAAGCAATCTATCCTTTAGTTTAAGTTGTTTTAATATCGATACATTAGTGCGATGATCAATCCAGGATATTCTTAACATGCGGCGGTATAGCCATATTTCAAAAGCGTCTAGTTTATTTTTATCCGCTTTCTTTAAGGTCCACCTTTTGGATGCATATGTGGCTATGAGAAAAATGAGTGCTCTTACCAGCTTTGGTTTTGGTGTATTGTTATGCTAGATTTTTTCCAAATTGTTACCAGTTTAATCAAAGCTGTTCTAGCAATAGTCAGCCTTCTACGTATCTCTCTATGACACCCTCCGTCATTTGTTATTAGGGACCCCATGCTATTCACTACTGCAAAGCCCCCAATTTCTTTAATGTTTCTACTATTATGGTTTCTGGTTGAATTTTCTGTTTAATAACTGCTTTTAGAGTATTACGCTGCAAGTTGAAACACGGACACATGCAGAACACGTGCTCCGCATCTTTACTAACCAGAGACAGAATGGGCACTCTGGAGAATCGTCATATTTAAAGCGATAAAGACAGGCTCAAAAGTAACCATGTCCTGAGAGCATCTGCGTCAGATAGTAGTTGTGGTATAAGACAATGCGTTCACCTGCCCGTTGTTGCGGATTCTCACTGTATTGCCATCAATGAATGCGGTTTTGTCGTTCTCTTCTTTATAGCGCTCTTTATATCTCTATAGTAGTAGTTGACACTCTGTTCCGATAAAGGGTCTTCGTTTCTTCAGTTAGCACACAATGGGTACCATCTCGGCTATAACGTATATTGCGTCCTCAGATACTGTGTGGAATGCGCTAGCAACTCTTAAAACACTCAGACGATATACTGATGCGAGCTTCCTCCGTGATACTTGAGTTCCTAGGGTGACAGCCCAAATTGATATTCCCTATGTTAATATTAACTACTGACGATAATAACGTCTTCCTGTTTTCTTTTGGGCCACCTACATTCGGCATTAGCAGTGACAAGGTTGCTTTTACTACTGACGCTTTGTCAATCGCATTGACATGCTTTAGCACTTTACCTGTGTGTGCTGGGTAGTTACCTTTTGAAAACAAATCACGTGAATTTTCTTACGGCTGTTCTCAAGTTAAAGTTAATTTGATATAACCGAATGAACTATCCTTTAATAAAGTCGTCCGGAAAGTATTATAAAAAATTAAATTTTTTCTATAAAAATAAAATGACTAACTATTTGTTACAAAACAATAGTAAATTTTTACGTAGAAAGAGGTATTGAAAAATTAACAATGTTGCCAGGACCATGGAATAGAGGAATAGCTCAATCTTTCCCTGTCCCCCGTATCTGCCGTATCCCCCGAAGTTGACACTGAACTCTCTCAAATCGACTGGCATTTATTTTTTGCAGACTTAAACGACCCCTCATTAATGTGGACTGCATTTCTCGATAAAGTCCACAATATAATTTCTACAAATACTATTTTCCGTAAGAGTTATAAAAACAACCTCAAACCCTGGATAAATCGAACAGCAATTAAACAAATCAATCACAAACGACATCTATGGCGAAAATTTATACACACCGGGCTTCTTAGTGACTTCCAAAGCCACCGCAGATTTTCAAATAACTTAAAAACATCTCTAAAAACCCTAAGACAAAATTTTGAAGCAAACGTTATTGAAAGTGGTAACATTAAAAAAGTCTATAAATACATACGTTCCTCCATGACATCTAAAGTTTCCATTCCGCTACTTCAAAAATCCAACCAGACTTTATGCTCTTCTGACAAAGAATCTTCCGAAACTCTCTCTTTAGCATTTTCACAGGTATTTACTAAAGAATTAAATGATGGTAATCTACCTGCTGTTAACTGTAATCGTGTCGGCGCATCCTTACAGCAAGTTGAATTCACAGTGGATCATG